CCGCCCCCTCGAAGGAGCCAGCTTTAAGGTGTACTTACTCGGTGCCAGCCCCATTTTAATTCAATTGCCCAGTTATGCCAACGATTCGGGGTACGGGTGTTGTACCCATTTCACAGATGCGTGCTCACACGGTCCCACCCGCGCCGGATTCCTGGGCCCAAACCCGGACATCCCGATGGATGACGGTGCCTCCCCCACCCCTCCCCCCAGGCTGGGTGGGCAGCCCGCCGCCGCCCGGGTCCGAGGTGTTTATCGGTAGGCTGCCCCAGGACGTGTACGAGCACCAGCTGATCCCACTGTTCCAGCGCGCGGGCCGCCTCTACGAGTTCCGCCTGATGATGACTTTCAGCGGCCTGAACCGGGGCTTTGCCTACGCCCGCTACAGCTCGCGGCGCGGGGCCCAGGCCGCCATCGCCACGCTGCACAACCACCCGCTGCGGCCCTCCTGCCCGCTGCTCGTGTGCCTCAGCACCGAGAAGTGCGAGCTGAGCGTGGACGGGCTGCCGCCGGCTCTGACCCGCCGCGCGCTGCTGCACGCGCTGCAGCCGCTGGGGCCGGGCCTTCAGGAGGCGCTGCTGCTGCCCAGCCCCGGACTGGCGCTCACGCAGATGGCACTGCTCAAGTTCAGCTCGCACCGTGCCGCGGCCATGGCCAAAAAGGCCCTGATGGAAGGTAGGGGCGGAGGCTGCTGGGGGCCGCTGGTTGGAGCCACAGTATTCTGCCAGGAACTTTACCTCCACACGTCAGTAGGGCGGGTAAAGTAGAAAGATCTTAAGGTCAAGAATGCCCGAATTTGCAACTTTATATTTATTTGAACTCGGCTTTTAAAATTTCCAATGCTAAAAAAAAAATTTCCAATGCTACTACCACTTACCTAAACTTAATTCTTCCCATGTTATCTCCTAACTTAACCCTCAACATTCCAATGAAAAATATACAAGAGAAAGGGACGTGCCCAAGGCAGTCCAACTGAGACTGTTGTCTGTTGTGAGAATTAAGCTGGATGCTTAGCACATTCCTTGATTCTTAGCAAGTATTCACAGTAAAGGTTGGTAGTTTTATGGTTTTGCAGTAGATAAAGCCTGCATCCAATCAGTACTCCTCCAAGAAAATTTAGAAGGTAGCTGTTACTGCACCCTTTTTACAAACACAATGAAGCCTTGTTATTTTGCCAGAGGTCACATCACCTGGTAATTGTGTGACTTGACTCCTAAGGGCAGGGACTGGGAGCTTGGGTGCAGGGCTAAGACCTCTCCTTGTCTCTGCCTTTTTCCTACAGGGCAGTCCCGCCTCTGTGGAGAGCAGGTGGCTGTGGAGTGGCTCAAGCCAGATGTGAAGCACCGACTCCGCCAGCAGCTTGTGGGGCCCTCGCTGAGGTGCCTACAGCCAGAAGGCAGCGGCTTGGCCCTCGCTAGGGACAAGCTAGCGTCCCAAGGGGCTCGAACTGCCTTGCAGCTGCTGTGCCAGCGGATGAAGCTGGGTAGCCCAGTGTTCCTCACCAAGTGCTTGGGCACAGGCCCTGCCGGCTGGCACCACTTCTGGTACCAGGTGGTGATCCCTGGGCATCCAGTGCCCTTCAGTGGCCTCATCTGGGTTGTGCTAACCGTGGAAGGGCAGGATGGGCATGAGGTGGCCAAGGATGCTGTGTCTGCACGGCTGCTGGAGGCGCTGAGCGAGTCTGGGGCCAGCGGCCTGTCGTCTGCTGGAGCCGAGGCAGGTGCCATGGTTAAGCAGTAACCCCATCCTCTACAGGCAGCCTGAAAAAGGCGGCAGAGCCTGTCAGTCCCCAACCCAGCAGGTCTGGGCAGCCACCATCTGGTCCCCAAAGAGGGAGGAGCATGGGCCCTGCCCTAGGCCTGACACAGCCTCCCGGCTGGGGCACAGCCCCAGTGCACTTGGAGACAGCTCAGATTTGGCTAAGTTGTGGTGAGGGACCTTGCCCTCTCTCCCAGCCCAGAGTATCCCTTGGCCTTTCTCTGTGTGACATACACACTCTGTCTCCTCCCACAGCTTAGCATGCATCTTCACTTATTTTCTTGATTTGTCTTTGTTTTTATTTGGGGGATGGCTGAGCCAAAGGGTCAGAAACCTGCCTTTTATCCCCACCACTTGGTGTTTTGGTGTATGTGTACTGTTGGTTTGTTTATCTATGCTGGTTGTATTTATATTAAACCACTGATTGTACTGTTGGTTTGTTTATCTATGCTGGTTGTATTTATATTAAACCCCTGGTTGGTGTACACTTGTGTCCGTGCTATCTTGTCCCAGCTGTGGGCTTGTCTTACACTGGTACAGTGAGCAGCTCTACTTCCCCACAGTCCTGAGCCTCTATTTGCCCATTTCCTTATGCTGTACAAGAGGGTATGATAAATTCATAGCCTCTGGGGATCCCGCCCAGGAAGCAAGACTCTTGCCCAGTGAGGACCTGCCGCCTTGAGATTCAACTCATCCCCTCAGTCACTGTCATCCTCCCTCTCCTCTTCCTCCTTCTCCTCTTCCTCTTCCCTCAGTCCTGCAAAGAAGTCATCGGTGCTCCAAGCCTTGCTACTCAGCGCGCCCGAAGTGCCTCCCTTTTTTTTGCGCCGACGGTAATCATCCACCACCACAGCCCGCAATTGGGCCATGTCCCAAAATTTGAGGCACTGGTCATGGCCACTGCTGGCCAGGAAGCGGCCGCAGTGGGAGAGGGCCACATCCTCCACAGGCTCCCCGGCATGCTGGCCCACACTGCCCACCACTCGGTTCGGCAGGATGTTCACAGCCCTGATGACTCCATCCGTAGACCCAGTGCACAGCAGACTGTCAGTGACGGGAACCATGCAGTCAATGGACTCGGCTCTCAGGGCGAAGCGGTCACTTGTGGCCCCAAAGCCGTTCCAATTGAAGAGATAGATGGTACCTTCACTGGAGCCACAGGCCACCTTCCTCCCACACTGCAGGGAAA